ATTTAAATGGGAACAGAAGCATCTTCATACATGAGCCCGGCCTGGGACTGCTGACTGTTTGTTGAGTCAACGCTTCCCGCCCACATCTTCCTGTCTTAAAACAGTTTGCAGAAGTCTCTGTGTGACAGGAATAACCGTTATACATCTCAACAGATTACAACTGTCAGGGAGCCCGGCCGGCGCTCATTGCATCCAGCCAAACGCTCATTGTTTTCATGCCGAGGAAGTTCAGCTTATGAAATGCAAGAAATGAGCAGAGACCACGGGGGGGGTGTCTCCTTTATTACAGTTTAAACGTTTTTATCACTTGGCTTAACCGCGAGATTAAGAGACACTTGTGTTTAAAAACAGACGAGTTATAAACATCAGCTTTCTGTGTATACATTTTTTATTATTAAAGATGATTGGATGTTTAGATCATCGATAATCAAGAACAATAAACCTGGTGTCATGTTGTACTGATTGGCATTCATGGAACCAAAAACGGCTAAACATTGAAGTCCCCCCTTCACATCAGAACCTGCTCTTATCACATTATAGTCCCCTTTTATATCAGTGACCCCCTTCACATCAGAGCTTGCTCTTATCACATCATAGTCCCCTTTTATATCAGGAACTCTCCTTCATATCAGAGCATTCCCCTTTCATATTAAAGTTTCCCTTTATATCAGGAATCTTCTTCACATCAGAGCATCCCCCTTTTATATTAGAGCCCCCCTTTCACATCAGAGTCCCTCTTAATATCAGGAACCTCCCTTCACATCAGAGTCTCCGTTAATATCAGGAACCTCCCTTCACAACAGAGTCCCCGATAATATTAGTAAAAAAGAGAAACCTCCTCATGGTGTGGTATGCATAAGCGTTTATTTGTATAAAAACATAGAATCACTCACAATTTAAAATCGAAGAAACCGGCCGGTATCGTGTAGCGTCTCACTCGTCTGCTACTTCCTGGTATAGCGTGGTATCAAATTAGAATAGACCCGCCCCAACGCGTTTCGTCGTAGAAGACGTCCTCAGGAGGTCATAGGTCAGGAACCTCCCTTCACATCAGAGCCCCCCTTTATATCAGGAACCTCCCATCACATCATAGCCCCCTTTTATATCAGGAACCCTCCTTCATATCAGAGCCCCCCCTTTTATCTTAGAGCCCCCCTTTATATCATGAGCCTCCTTCACATCAAATCCCCCCTTTATATCAGGAACCTTCCTTTCACAACAGAGTCCCCCTTTCACATCAGAGTGCCCCTTTATATCAGGAACCTTCCTTTTACATCAGAGTTCCCCTTTATATCCGGGACCCTCTTCACTTCAGAGTGTCCACCTCTCACATCAGAGTCCCCCTTTACATCAGGAGCCCTGCTCACATCAGGAGCCCCGTCACATCAGAGTGCCTCTTCTACATCAGTCCGTTCCTTTCACATGACAAGCCTCCTTCACATCAGAGTCCTCAGCCACCCCTTCACATCAGAGTCCTCAGCCACCCCTTCACATCAGAGTCCTCAGCCACCCCTTCACATCAGAGTCCTCAGTTTTGACCTATTGATCCTCCCAGTGAAGGACTTCCCATCCTATCCTAGGGTGACTTGACAGAATCCAAGACTCTGCAGGAGCAACGTTGTCACCCTAGGACTTGTGGGCTGCTGGTTGGCTCTTGGCATATGACATCAGGCAGGCTATGCACAGTCTTAAGCTTCTTTTTTTTTTATGCCAGCAGTGCGTGCAACGAAAAACCCCAAAAGTGGTCCAATGTGAACACACAGAAAAAGTGCACAAAGTGTGCCTAATGCTCTATCTCCCGAAGAGACAGAGCCCTATCCCTGACCCCCAGGGGCGCAAGGCTCCTGACAGGGGCAAGGCACTCATGTCCGCCGGGCCGAAACCAGGTGTACCCATTCCTTGTGGTCAGCCAAAGCCAACCACCAAGTACTAGGTTGAGGGCTCCCCTGAAGGGAGATCCCCCAATCAGGGGAGGAAGGAACCTGAGGGCCACACATCCTCCCCCTAGACTTCAGAGTAGGCCCAAAGACCCACGCCCTCCATCCTGTAGAGTGAAAAACACATAAACAAGGTGAAGTGTACATACAAAGGGAAGAAAAATATATAAGTGCCAAGTCTTAAGTCTTAAGCTTCTGTCCCACCCACCGGTATAATGTGCGCTGGGATCTGTCCACGGCGTATGACTTTCTTTGGCAAATAAAGAGCTGATCCTAAACCTCAACTTAACCAACCTAATCCCTAAATTAACCCTTAACCTGAGCCCATCACCTAAAGCAAACTCTAAATCTTAACCTCACCTCTACAATTAGCCCTAAACCTCATCCCCAACATCTAACCCCTAAACCGTCCAATAACCTGAGTCCGTCACCTAACCAACTCCAAAACTCAACCTCACCTCTACAATTAGTCCTAAACCTCAACCCCAACATCTAACCCCTAAACCATCTCTTGACCTGAGCCCATCACCAAAGTAACTCCACACCTCAGCCTAACCTCTACAATTAGCCCTGAACCTCAACTCCAAAATCTAACCCCTAAACCGTCCCATACCCTGAGCTCATCACCTAAATAACTCTAAATCTCAACCTCACATCTACAATTAGCCCTAAACCTCAACCCAACCAATCTAACCCCTAAACTGTCTCTTAACCTGAACCTATCACCTAAACCAAACTCTAAATCTTAACCTAATCTCTGCAATTAGCCCTTCACCTTAGCCTAACCAACCTAACCACTAAACCCACCCTTAGAGTGACACTAAACTCAGGAATTAAGTCTTAAAAATGCATTCAAGTACCTTAACTACTAACAAAATTGTATCCTATTTGTGTATCATTCGGCTGTAGATCATCCAATCATCTCTGAATTGGTGCTGACGCTGTCCTTCCTTCTGGAGGGGGACTTTATTTGATCCCCATGGTCCGTGTGTGTGTCATAAAGTAGCCACCGCTCCAAGCTCGCTCCTGTGATGGACTACAATCTCAGTTTTAGTTTACTAATCTATATTGAGTGATGGATCTTAAATACACTTACAAGGTTATTCACAAAAGGGTGAAGAGTTTGGAGAAGGCTGGTGAAGTGAACAATCTAGGCCAAAATAGCTGATTTGGATAAATTCTCCAATTCAGCTCACTTTCCAGCTCAGCTATGTTGTCCTGGATTGTTCCCTTCTCCTGCCTTCTCCAAACTCTTCACCCTTTTGTGAATAACCCTGTACATGTTTGTAATTGTGTTGTTGTCCCTTTATACATCCATAACTCCCAAGAATGGCTCCCCTTTTTGGGGTGGATGATGCATAGGCCATTATAGCTTCTTTGATACAAGTATCCATCCAGTGATGGTGTGTAGAGGTCTTTAGTTCTGCATTGAAAAGGAGACAGACAGTGAAATGAGTATACTGTATGAAGGGTGAATGGGGTGAAGACAATGCAAAGGGTTGGAGTCCTTCTTACTTTGTTCTTATTCTTCTTGGACTTGTAGTTCCACAGTATGTGGAGGGCACCAATATAACAGCCATGCTCCTGACTAGCTATAAGGTTCGCTATACTAAGAGACAATTATTTAATGCCTGATTCCTTATCTGCTTTTGCAGGTAAAAGTTTTACATTAACAATCACGGTGTTTACAAACCCACCTCAAGTTGCCACCTACCACCGAGCCATAAAAGTGACGGTCGACGGACCAAGGGAGCCAAGGCGTAAGTACCACTCTTTTCTATACTGCTAAGCCCATTAACTTATTTCTTGTTGAATAAACTCTAACTAGTTGGTCTCCGGGAATCTAATTGTTCTTATCTCCGAGATCTCAGTTTCACCTTCTGCTCTATTGTCACAGAACCCATATGGTGTCATCTATGACCTGCTCTTGCTGGATTCTTTGTAGGAACATATAGTACACGGCATGTGAAGGAGCCACTCATAGAAAAGCTAAATGAGGCCTGTTATGACTGTAGTATATATTTTTACTTAGCAGAGGCTTTCAAACTTGCAAACGTAGTATTTGATGGGTGTTTGCTGTTGTGGTTCCAAATTTTGTAGCAGATCCCTGGAAGGACTGGTCACACCTCCGACTGCTTACTATGCAATCCAGCCCTATCAGTCAGTAACATGTTGAGCTCCTCTATATTATCTAAAACAGAATATATGAGGAAGAGCTTCCAAGAGTAACCATCTCAGTACAAAGAGAGCATGAGGTCTGTGTATGGTTTCCATCACCTTGTGTGGTGGTTGTTATCCACTTATTGGTAAAAACAGCTAATAGGCTTGTAGTATAGAGCTTTAGCAGAGTAGCTTGTTATTAACTGCCAAGCAAACATTTTGCAGGATTATATACCTCTAGGGCAGTGGTTCTCAACTTTTCTGGGGCCGTGACCCCTTGGTAACATTTGCCAATTTGTGGTGACCCCCCCAATGGTAAAATTATAATTTTTTATTACTATAATTATTAT